AAAAAGATATAAAAATAAAAAATATTAAAATAAAGTTAAAAATAGTAAAAAAAATAAAAATAACAAAAATATAAAATAAAAAATAAATAAAAATAAAAATAACATAAAAAATAAAATAAAATAATAAAATATTAAAAATAAATAATAAATTAATTTTTTAAAAATAAAAAAATGAAAAATAAAATCAAAAAATCAAAAAATTAAAAAATTAAATAAAATGAAATTATAATTAATTAAAAAGAAATGAATAAAAATAAATAAATGAATAAAAATAAAATTAAAAAGCTAAAATAAATAAAAAATAAGATATAAAATAAATAAAATAAAATAATAATAATAATAAAATTATAATTATAAAATTAAAATAGTAAAAAATATAAAAAAATAAAATAAATATAAAAATAAAAAATAATAATAAATTTTTAAAATAAAGCTAAAATAAAAAAATAAAATAAAAATAATATAAAAAATTAAAAAATGTTCTATATCTATTTTGAATTGATTCTAATCAAAATTGGATTTATATAAATTTTTAAAGTAGCTCACAAATCAGGCCATATGTACATGCGTAGTGTACCATAGCACTAGCAGCTAGTGACTTGTACAAAGAGGTTAATTAATAATAGTATGATAGTTTTTTTCGTAAAATAATGTACCTTTTTTCTCAGTTTTGGAGATTTCTAATTGTTGAGTAAGAAACTTTATTTGTTCATCATGACTATCAGTCTCCAGGCTCTGACTTGTCTCATCTAAATGAAAGTTAGCACATCCAAAATGGAGTATATATTATGCTACCTATTATTAATTTCAACTTTTCATTTTCTGCTGCTATATTATTCAATACTTCATCTTTCTCAATCCCTTGAATACTAATTGATGATATTTTGTTTTGCAATATTTTAATCTCTTTATCTCTCTCAGACAACGACTTTTTTAATTGTTTAACTCCTATAAGTAAACATAATTATTATAAAAGTTATCGCAATTTCTACACCTTTGTTGTTTGGCTGATCTTCACTTTCTTTAGTATATAAATATTAATAACTAAATCAAATGTTTATACCTATATATAAGTTACCTAAACTATCTTCTTTCTCAGATTGAAATAAAGCAAGTTGTTCTTCCAATAATTGTTTTCGCTCTTTAACTGCTACAGTTTCCTGTGGAAAATCACAGTACAATAAGAACTCTCAGGCTCAAACTCAACTGCTTCTAATTCTATGAATTTCCTTTGTAGAGACTGCAAAGATTCACCTAGTAATGGAATCATAAATATTATAAAAAATATATGCACAATACTTTTTCTTTCATCCTCAACGCTTCGTGCTTTCAACATTCGTGTTTTTTGTCCTAGTATGTTCCTTAGTAACTCTGCTTCTTTTCCATGTGACAACATTTTCTATATAACATGCACAAATATTTCAGAATTATTCATGCAGAACTGACAAAATTCAACACGAAAATTCATATTTAGATAATAAATTAGAGTTATTACCTCATTCAAAGTTCTTATCTCATCTTTACTGCTGAGAAATTGTACACTCAGTGTCAACATCAACTGCTTTAGTGTACCAGTACCACCATATAAGCTTTGTTGTTGTTCCTCTATAACATAATTGTAAATTTGTAATCTTACACATAAAATTAGCTTACCTTCTGCCGGTTTCACTTCATCTACCTTTAACATTATTATAAAGAATAAAGGTAATTTGCATATTATAATGAATATGTACCTCATACACAGTACAATAGCCAATAGTCAATCTCTTGACTTTATTCTCCTTAAGTATCTCAATGCTCTCCAGAGCAATTGCAATTAGCTGCTCAGTAAGGCTCAAAGGAAAGGAACATATTACGGTGAAAGACTGATCATCTCTGATAACACACAATTTGATTTGTGGTACAAGATCTCTGAATATTTCTCCTGACAATCTCCGGACATCCTTTAGGGTCAAATCAGCAGCTTCTTGATCAACAACAATAGTAACCTTTTCACAAGAAAGTGGTGAACCATACGAAAATTTTTCCTTAAGGCACTGACTAAGCTTCATTTCGCTAAACTCCTTAATGGCTTCATTATATTCTTGAACAACCAACTTAGCCTCATCTATATCAAGCTCATTAACAATAAACTCGAGTATTTCAATGTCATTCAGAGAACACTTGTCCCAAACTATTTCCAAAATTTCGCTGATTTTCTGACACTGAGCAAGAGAAGGCTTTAACTCTTTGTCATAGAATGTCAAAAGCTGCTTCATATCATCTGCTATTGCTGGTGGATAATTCTGCATCATGATCGATCCTACTTTGAAGAAAGTGCGGCCATATTTTAATCGCATTGATTTAAACTTCAAAGTCAAGCTCTTAGGCAAATAAATTTTCAACCCAGCACTATGATCTACTTGTAGATCTACATGCAAAATATATTAAAAATTAATACAAAATAATTATTCTTGGTTTTTACCAGCATTTTCCATTTTCATCAACTCATTTTCACAATAGGCTTCTCCTATGAAGAAAATAATAGTGTGTTGTGCTGTGCTGTAATAAATTCTTACTATATTTCTTCATGATAACATTTCCAAGCCCAGCTGTATCCGTACATTTTAACAAAACTGTAGCAAACACCTCTAGCTTATAATGATCCAAGCAAATAGCTTCTTGCACTTCGATCAATATGCTATGCTCTTCATCTTTTGAATAGATCATCTTTTTAATGAGCTTTTCAAAATGCAATAATGGAGCTAAATATGACAGTGAAGCCAAAACTTGAGACTGGCTTGAAGTGTGATCAGCAAAAATTTTACAAGCAGGATGCTCTAAAATAATTATAATAATAATTATAATAGATTTATAAATCACACTTCTCTAGTCAACTTACTTTCCATGTCTATTCCAACAGCTACTGCTTTCTCTTTGATTTTTTTCAGAGCTGATATCAAGGAATGGATAGTTGGACCACCTTTCTTGTCTACATCGTCAGCTTTCTGTAGCCATATCTTAAGACATTCCCGTAGACAAATCTGAATATCCCTTTCGTTATCCTTTCTTATAACATCCAGTGTAACAGGAGACAGGCCAAGATAAAGACCGAGATCGTAGTAAGTGACACCAGAGTAGCCATGCTGACGGAGCAACTCAAGTAAGTCGGCGAGATCATGGACTAGATAAAGGCATCATTGGTTTAAAGGCCAAAATAATAAAGAACCATACTTTGCAGTAATCGTGGAGCTGTTGGTGGAGGTGAGCACAGAGCCATAATTGTGACAACCCTGCCGTTAAGTAAGCAGACTCCACCTTTTGCATACCAGCAGCAGCCATAGTCTAGATCTATCCATGCATGCATGCATGCGATATGCATGCATAAATGAAGGTGGGGCTAGATATTGTTAACGCCCACTTTAAAATGGCTGACCTTGAAGATGTAGATTTAGAGGAAGAAGAGGAAAATATCCCTCCATCAGAACATGGTGAAACCACAGAGGCCGAGAATGAGGTTATACATTACTGGGAAGGACTTGAAGAAGGAGTCCTGTCGCATCCTGCTCGTCTTCAGCTCCAGTGTCTCCTGTACATAATAGGACACATCAGTACTGATGATGATGATTTTACTAATGCTTTGGGCTTACTCCCTCGTTGGGTACGCACTCAGTTATTGCTCCTATTACCAGCAGTAGATGTGGTTAAGTTAGAAGATACACCAGTGACGGATGGTATATCTATGAATGAAATTTGGAACACAATATTCAAGAATAGACTCCCTCTGTATAAAAAGAAAGACGTAAGACGTGAAAATGGGAATTGTTTTTGCTCATTGAATGATTTTCATGATGCTGGTGTAGAGTCTATCTCTTGGAAGGAAGCGTATTTCAACAATGTGTTCTTTTTCTCTCAATTTTACAATCGTATGACATCACTCGAGTATGAAGATTGTTCTTGTGTTTATGCTCATTTCTTACCCGACCTGTTTTATGGCATAGGATCATTTTATAATGATCCACCTCCTCCAGAGATTGAGTCACAGCTCTATCAGTGCTTCAGTAAAGAGTCCACACTCAGCATTCATGATGTTAGTCGCTGTGTACACAGATGTCCTCGTCTTACTCCAGAGAGGTATTATGACAAATTCACAAGCCCTATTCATTCTCCTCGATGGGGAAAAGGGTTTTACATGTCATTCATTGATGTCGTTAATGAAATGGCTGATCGTAATATTTCTTTGAAGCATTTTGTTATTTCTAAAGTACACTTTGCTCATTTTCCCTTCGAAAACGCATCAAGATTTCTGAATCAGCTTTCAAGGTTATTTTCTTCAGTGGAAGTAATTGAAATTTATGGAATTGAGGAAAAAGTTTTTGGAACAATGGAACTAACTCCAGAATTTATTAAGATGGTTCTTGAAAAGATTTCACTGCATAACAAGTGCTCCATTAGAGCAATGAAAGTTTACAGCAACAAAATTGATGCTGTTTTTCCTTTTATGACTAAGTCACCACAATGCCTACTAAAGCAGCTTGAAATTGCTTTAATTGTTGATAATAAAGTATCATCACCAGTTGGTAAGTCTAATACGTAGAATATTTAACAATTCTAATACTGAATATAATATTTATTTTTAGGACAAGCATCACCTCCGACTATTCCTTCACATGGAGGGATTCTTCAAACAGGAGTATTTCCCACTCCAGCAGTTGGACTTTCTGCTTCAATGATTTTAGGTCCTCAAGCTAGAGTTCCTGTTCCTATTCCACAAGTTGGACTTTCTGCTCCAATGATTTTAGGTCCTCAAGCTGGAGTTCCTGTTCCTATTCCACAAGTTGGACTTTCTGCTCCAATAATTTCAGGTCCTCTTCCTGCTCCTATTCCACAAGTTGGACTTTCTGCTCCAATGATTTTAGGTCCTCAAGCTGAAGTTCCTGCTCCTATTGTTAGCAATCTTCCTGCTGACTTCCCTCCTTCTGTATGGCCACAAGCTGTTGATTCCCCTGCTCTAGTTGGAAGTCCTATGCCTCCTCTTGGCATTGGAAGTCCAGCTAATATTTTACCTTTTGGTGGAGGAATGGCTTCTCATGCTTCACTGACTCCAAGCAGTTTCAATTTCTGCTTTAATCCTCGACAAACGCACCATGTTTCAATTAATGAGGCCATTACTCGTTCAATAGATGATATTTTAAAGCATCAGCAACAGATAGAGTCGTTTACTTTTCTTTTGAAATCTCTGAGTGATTATAAAATAGAAAATGGCGAGCTTTTCCAGTGTATTGCTGACCTCCTGTATCGACCTGCTCTTAAGAAACTTTATGTATGTTTTGAACATAAAATAGAAGCTTCATCTGATATTGCTTTGTGTTTAATTCGTATGTTCTTCTCTTCTCCCAATCCAGTAAGTTTGGCCTTAAACCTCAATTGCCCTGATTTATCTGCCATAGCTGATCCCCTGACAGTTGATCAGAGTCAATCAACCAACAAGTCACTGGAACTACTTAAATGTTGTTTCTCTTCCAATCTCTCTTCTTTATTTCCTTCCAATCTAGTCTTAAAGTCACTTAAACTTCATTCATGCAGTTCAGCCACCATTTGTTCATTTGCAGACCTGGAATCGATCACATTAGACCATTTTTCATTACATGACCATGTAACTCAAAACAACATATCTACAATGTCTTCATTGTTTCGTATTGTCAATGCACAAAAGTGGGATCTCTCGATCAGTTTAGATGATGACAGTGACACTGTTGATATGTTTATTGGCATGCTGTCTAAAATATCTCATCTTCTATGTAACTTTTGCCTGAAAAATCCTTTTTCGCAGTTGGATAGACCAGTCTCCATCTACAAATGCGTGTTTCAATCTCTCTCATTGGCTTCTACGTCTTCCTTTGAATTGTCGTTCAACAGTTATGTTCTCAATGATATTGTTATTAAAGCTATATGTAAGGCATGGGAGGATTGTGGTGCAGTTAAGCTGAAAAAGATTATTGTGCATTGTGGAAGTGATAATGATGACATTACACCTAGTTGTATGAATATTTTATTAGATATGGCAAATGAAGTAGTTAAACTTTAATATGTGCTTTGTTTTTGTATGCTACCCATAATACTACAATTACAATTGCTAGTTTGTATCACAATAATTTAGTTTTGCAATTAAAGTTTGTTCTTTGAACTACCGATTCAAGCCAAAAAATACTTGCGTAGTTACTATGGCACTAAAATTTGTAACTTTCAGGGTTATTTTAAGGGACAAAAAAAGCATTTGCCCATTGCTATTGGGTATAGCTTCTACAATTCAGTTTTGATCAGAATTCGCTCCAACTTTCTATGCAACATGAGAACATGTTTATGCATTTAAAAAATTATAAAAATGAAAAATTTTCTCCTCGCCAGTTTTGGTGAAATTTGGCCACAGGCCCATTCAGGGTCTTTGGTCCAATTTTTGAGCAACTTTAAAAATTTATTAAAAATCCAATTTTGATCGGAACAAACTCAAACTTTCTACACAACATGAGAACATGTAGACACATTAGAAAAAATTATAAAAATAAAGAATTCTCTCCTTAACATTTTTGATGAAATTTGGCCAGAGGCCCTGTACTATAGTACAGGGTCTTTAGCCCGATTTTTGAACAACTTTAAAAATTCATTAAAAATCCAATTTTGATTGGAACAAACTCAAACTTTTTACATAACATGAAAACATGTAGACGCATTAAAAAAAATTATGAAAATAAAAAATTCTCTCTATAACATTTTTGGTGAAATTTGGCCAGAGGCCCTGTACTATAGTACAGGGTCTTTAGCCCGATTTTTGAGCAACTTTAAAAATTCATTAAAAATCCAATTTTGATTGGAATCAGCTTAAAATTTCTACACAACATAAGAACATATATATGCATCAGAACAAATTATAAAATGAAGAGTTTTTTTCTACCAAAATGCTATGTACTATGGTACTGGTTTTTTTGGCCTGACTTAAAAATTGAATTTTGATTGGAATTAGTTCCAACTTTTTTACACAACTTAATAATGTAATAAAAATCTCTTGGTCATTTTAAACAATACAGTGTAGTTTGTAATTATGGCAGGGGCTCATTTGTTCTTCTCTGAACTAATGTTTTTATAAAACTATGTGATGATATGAAAGAACCATAGTAGTATCACTAAAACAAAACCATTAGAAAAGCAATATCAGCAACAACTAATAATGGCAATAAATAAAAGGAGCAGAATGGATTAAAAGAGAGCATGGATTATTTTAAAACATTTTAAAATACTACATAAAGCAGCAACAAGGACAGAACCATGCTAATAACATGATAAGATAAGTTACTTCCTCCTGATAGTGTAGGAGTTGATTCAGTGCTGGTAACATTAGGCAATGCTGCCTTCCATCCTGCTTGTAGGAGTGAGCGTAGTTCCTTCACAATAACTGCCATTTCAGGTTGATTGGCAAGATTAACATTTTCATCATTAAAGGATACAGTAGGGCTTGAGTGATTGTAGAGTTCGGTCCCCCAAATATCGGAGAAGTTTGCAGTTGATGTAGTACGATTGAAACGATACCATTCAGTGAATCGGTAGTTGTCAACATGTACTGAATACCCCATTACACTCTCATTATTCTCATCATCTGGAAATGGAGGGCATCCTGGGATCACACTCAATCCAGCTGCAGGACGAGGAAACTGAGAAAAGGCTCCATTTTTCCAAGCCATTGTAGGATTGTTCAGTAAAGGGGCAACACTAGAACCCTCTACACAAGCAATGGACTTGGCACTATTCTCAGTACACATTGGAGGTACATCTATTCCTGCTAGTTCAGTCAGTGAAGGGAATAAGTCAATCAGTTCAACAAGTGCATCAGTTTTCATTCCATTATCAGTTACACCAGGAACACAAACCATAAAAGGAACACGTGTAGCATCTTCAAAATTACTATTTTTGCACCACATTCCAAGCTCTCCCAAATGATACCCATGGTCACCCCATAACACCACTATCGTATCGTCACTGAATCCTTCCGACTCTAACGAAGCCATCAATTTCCCTACTTGTGCATCAATGTAACTGACACAGGCATAATAGCCTCTCCTTAGCTCTTTTGTTGTATTAGAAGACACCTGGCAATTCACATCAGTGATGGACGAAGGTGTTCTACTACACATGTTCGAAGATATGTTAGGATAGTAGTTACGGAGTTCCCTCCATGGAGTCCACGCAATTTCAGGCATGTCTTGGGGAGGGTCTGGATTGCTGGGTAATGCTATATCTGAGGCTTGAGGATAAAGATCATAATATTTAGATGGGCAATAAAATGGAAGGTGAGGCTTTAGAAAGCCTACTGCCAGAAAAAAAGGTCTGGCATCGCCATTACTTCTGTTCTGTTTTAGTTGCTGTAGAACACTAACGGCATTATCAGCTATTTTACCATCATCAAGGCGGTTGTCATCATAATCAGTAAAACTGTACCAAGCTGATCCTTGTGCTATACGAACATCACTTCTAGGAGTGTCTGCCTCAAAGTATGGCAGGCCCTCAGGACTCCATGAATATAATGCCTACAATAAATTAATAAAATATTTATAATTTCCACTAGCATTTATACTGATGCAACTATGAAACATAAAAGGGTTTAAATTTAACTGATAATTAGTCAAGCAAATAGTAAATTGGCCCAAAAAAGCCCCACCCTTCTTGCCCTAAATTTTAGCAAGGAATAATTCCCCAGTGGCATGTCCTATGTTAACTTTTGTCATTATAATAGCTCAGTTGTAAATCCAGTATAATTACATATGTCAGCCATTTGAATGCCAAAATGGAATGCACTTCTAAGTAATTATTTACTCCTACATGTAATTTTATAATACGCTCATATAATCTTACATCATTGCTTCCTCCTTGTGCTCCGGGATGAAATATTTTACCCATTCCAATGGATATGTATCCATTTTCCTTGAAATATTGAGGAATAGTTGTGGCATTGGTAGCATCAGGAACTGTACGCCAATACTCATCATCAGACACCCTCCACACATGATTAGTATCTGGCCTGCGTCCTGTTAGCAGTGAAGCTCGTGACGGTGCACACACAGCAGCTTGACAATAAGCTCTTTCAAATAGCATATACTTGCAAGTGAATCAATGTTAGGACTTGACACGTAGTTGGCGCCATAAGCACCTAGTTCTGGCCTTAAGTTAAGTCGTCCACAGCTATAAAGAGAACGTTCTTTTGCTGCTGTGCCTTTGCATCTCTACAGGCTCCTAATAACAACAATGTCACACAAAGTAAAACGAGATCCATGGCTGTTTAATCATTGTTGTAGATCTATCATGGGTGGTGCCCGTGATGGGTGGGGCTGGATGAGCCTGCATGCATGCATGCGTCATGTGATGAAAGATTGAAGAGTGACCCCAGAAATGAAACTGCAGCACTGTGCTCATTGTACTAGACATGTAATCCTCATTCTTTCAATTTGTAGCGTTATTCTAGCTACTGATGTTCCTAAAAAGAATGTTCTTTTCATTGCAGTTGATGATCTGAGGCCAGAGCTTGGAGCATATGGATCTGATTTTATAAAGAGTCCTAACATTGATGCTCTAGCCTCGAAATCATTGTTGTTTGAAAGAGCATACTGTCAAGTTGCTGTATGTTCTCCATCTCGTGCTTCACTACTAACAGGACGCAGGCCAGATACCAATCATGTGTGGAAGATTGCAGGTGATGAGTATTGGCGTACAGTTCCTGATGCTACCAATGCTACAACTATTCCTCAATACTTTAAGGAAAATGGATACATATCTATTGGTATGGGTAAACTGTTTCATCCAGGGCCTCCAAGTGGCAATGATGATGAAGAGTATTCCTGGAGTCCAGAGGGTTTACCATATTTTCATGCAACTGAAGAAGATAGCATTGCCAACCATTCATCATGGTACAAATTTGACAAACCAGACAATTACCTTGTGGATGGTAAAATAGCTGATAATTCTGTGTCTGTTCTACAGCAGTTAAAGCAGAATAGAAGCAGTGGTGATTTGAGACCATTTTTTGTTGGAGTTGGGTTCCACAAACCTCATCTTCCATTTTATTGTCCATCAAAATATTATGACCTTTATCCTCCAGTCGAAGACATTAAACTTCCAGAAAATCCAAATCCTCCTGAAGGTATGCCTGACATTGCATTCAGTGTTTCAGAAGAAATAAAAAATCAACGTGACGTAAAGATACTCATGAATGTAACAAAGTGTACAACTGATGTCAATGCTACAAAGTATGGTGAAGAATGTCGTGTTCCAGTTACTAAAACAAAAGAGTTAAGGAGAGCTTATTATTCTTGTGTCAGTTTTACTGATGCACAAATTGGAAAAGTTATCAAGGAGCTGGAATCTCAAGGGTTTGCTGATGATACCATTATAGTGTTGTGGGCTGATCATGGCTGGCAATTAGGTGAGCATAATGAATGGGCAAAGAAAACTAACTTTGAAGATGCTACACGTGTTCCATTCATCCTTCATGTTCCTGGTGTAACTGATAATGGAATGAAAACTGATGCACTTGTTGAACTGATTGACATATTCCCTTCACTGACTGAACTAGCAGGAATAGATGTACCTCCAATGTGTACTGAGAATAGTCCCAAGTCCATTGCTTGTGTAGAGGATAGTAGTGTGGCCCCTTTATTAAAGAATCCAACCATGGAATGGAAGAAAGCATCTTTCTTGCAGTATGCAAGACCTCTTGATGGTCTCCCCCAAATACCAGGTTATCCTCCATTTGAGCCAAATGAACATGGGGAAAATGTGATGGGATATACAATACATGTTGACGAGTATCGTTTCACTGAATGGTACAAATTTGATCGTGATACTTCCAAACCAGACTTCAATTATACATGGGGTACTGAACTGTATGATCATTCTACTCCATCTACTTTCTTTAATGATGAAAATATCAACTTAACTAAAAAAGCAGAAATGAAACAGACTGTGGAAGAACTACGTAATATACTGCAAGCTGGTTGGAGAAAAGCTCTCCCCCCAAATAATGAATGAAATAGCTTGATTATGTACTTGTAGTTCATACTTTTTTATTTAGTCATGAGATCTAAATCAATTAAGATTTTGATTAAAATGAATCATTAAAATGCACACACGCTGTAAAGGCTGATAATGGGCTGATCCATTCCTGGATACACCCCTGCATGCTTCACTGCACTGTGGGATTTGCATTGCTGTAATTCTATCACTACCTATGTAACCTTATCTCTAGTCACTTGTGTGGTCATTTCTGTCTGAACAAGCTCATTAATAATGTTAATAGTAGTGTCACCAAAAACATATGAATACTTATACAAGTATGAATATCATATGTAGTCTGTCGAGTCTACTTTTATAAACACAGACAATAATGAAGATTCTTCTTTGTAGCTTCTTTCTTCTTTTTTTCCTCAATTATAGATTAACTACTGTGCTTGCTCAATCCTGTATTAGTGGTGCAGTACGACTAGTAAGCTTTTGGTTTGTATAAATGCAATTTTATGAGCAAATCTATGTTAGACCTCTGGTTCTACTTATGGAGCTGTTGAAGTGTGTTTGGATCATGAATGGGGCAGTATTTGCAGTGATTTCTGGGACAATGAAGATGCAAGTGTTGTCTGTAGACAATTAGGATACTCACCTTATGGTAAATCTGCCTTGAATAGTTTACTTGTAATTTTTTTATCTGTCTTATCTGTCTTTTTGCAGGTGCAATTGGTCCTTCAGCTACATATTACTCTTCACATACGGGGTCTCATAAAATAATTGATATCAATTGTACTGGAGCAGAGAATCATATCACTAACTGTCCTTATAATGGGTACAGCAGCTATCCTTGTTCATTGGGTAGAGATGCCAATGTATATTGTAGTAAGTTTAATATGTTGTCAGTGATAGAAATAGTGTAACTTTGTAGCTGTTGGAGTTAGTGCAAGCAGTTGTGCTACAGGTAATGTTCGTCTTGTTGGTGGATCTAATGTATATGAAGGAAGAGTTGAAGTTTGTGTTAATAATGCCTGGAGTACTGTATGTACTTCCAGTGGATGGAATAGACAAGCAGCAAATGTTGTCTGTAAAAAAGTTGGAGATAATCTTGGTAATTTAGTAATGATTGATTGTGATACATTACTGTTTTATATAGTTAATGTAAATTACAACACTGTTGGTGCACTGGGACTAACTCAAAGTTCTGGTCTTACTTTGGTGGGATACTTCAATTGTGATGGAGATGAAGTTGATTTATTGGGATGCTCACCAAACTACTATTCCACATACCAGTATTGTCAAAATCGTCACTACTATGATGCTGCTGTCACTTGTGAAAGTTAATATCTACATTGCTAGGCTACAGTGCTTTCCAATTGTTATTATAGGTAACTGTACAAATGGAGCAGTAAGATTGAGAGGTAGTAGTGATCCAACTATTGGTAGAGTTGAATTCTGTGTTAATGGAATATGGGGCACTATTTGTAGTGATTACTGGGACTATGAGGACACATCAGTTTTATGTAATCAGCTAGGATTCTCACCTTATGGTTAGAAAATTTTATTAAAATTTAATTAGGATTTAAAACATTTTTAACTTGAGTATTATTCATTACTCATGCGAAATTCATTTTCTTTGTCATATAGGTGCTATCCCAGCATCAGGAAGTTATTCATCACTAGATTTACCAGTCAGCATTCTTGACCTTAATTGTACTGGTAATGAAAGTAGTTTATGGGAGTGTCCTTATAATGGAACTGTTAATTTTTTTAATTGTCCGTCTAATCATGATGCTGAAGTCATATGCAGAAGTATGCAAGTGCTGTATTGTTATAATTTCATTATTTTTTATTTCAAGATATTCCATCTCAACCTGACCCATGCTCCACTGGTGATGTTAGACTTGTTGATGGACCACTGGATTCCACTGGAAGACTAGAAGTGTGTGTCAACCAGAACTGGGGAACAGTCTGCAGCAGAAGCTGGAGCTTGTCAGATAGTAAAGTTTTATGTAAACAATTAGGGTATCAAGAAACAGGTGCATAATTTTTGATATACTCAACATTAGTCACTGTATATAGGGTCAACATACAGCAGTGGCTCATATGGCC